TTTCCCCATCTCTCTCTCTCACCTTCTGAACACCTGTGAGGATAAAGAACATCTTGATGTTCTCTTTGACTGTTTCCCACCAGTCCGCTGGAGACTTGAAGAAGGGCTTCACAGTCCTCTAAGCTGTGTAATCCCTTTTGAGCTCCTTAATGTTTTCTGGGGTCAACAGTTTCAATTCAGCTTCCACATTTCCTTGCTAGTTGTCCTGTAGTTGACAGTCTGCCAGAAAGAGGCAGTGGTCAGAGAACACCAGCTTGGTGGGTTTGACTGAGAACGTACAGGACACAAACAGGAAATCTATCTGTAGTGATTGGAATGAGGGCTAGGTGAATCTCATTAAGTATCCTTGATTTTCTGTAGAAGGTTCCAGACCCGAAACGTCAGCTTTCCTGCTCTTCTGATGCTGCTTGACCTGCTGTGTTCATCCAGCTCTACACCTTGTTATCTCAGATTCTCCAGGATCGGCAGTGCCTACTATCTCCAAGTATCCTTGATATCCTTGATTGGGCTGTTAACCTGGGCCAATCAGGGAACTCTAGCTGACAGATATAAGCAGGAGTGTCAGAGCGTCTCCTCACTCTCAGGACTGAGTCAACATTTCTTGATTAAAAAGTGGCTGCCTAAGTGAAGCACTAATTAAATACCCAGAACTTTTCCAGGAAGTTCTGGGGACTATTAAAGGGGCAAAGCCACTTTGCATTTTGACCAGGAAGCAATTCTGTGATTCTGCAAGGCCCACCCAGTGCCATATGCCTTATGGGCAAAAGTAGAGGCAGAAATCAGAGGCTAGAAAGTGAAGGAACCATCAAACCTGTACAGTTTGTTGAATGGGCAGCACCAGCCATACCAATTGTGAAGCCTGATGATTAGTTCGCCTTTGTAGGATTTTAAGCTAACATTAAGCTAACATTGCAGTTGGATAAACACTCAAACTTTTGCATAGAGGACTTGTATGAAAAACTTGCAAGATTGGGGATGGGCAGTCCTTTACGAAGCTGGACATGAGCCTTGTGTACAAGTCACAGGAAGGAGATAGAGTGCTTGGTGTCGTGGTGCACTAATAACAATGTCTTTCTCAATGTCGGCAAAACAAAGGTACTGATCATTGACTTCTGGAAGAAAGGAGGAGGACACACCCCCATCTACATCAACAGCAGTGAGGTGGAGGGGTTCGAAAGTGTCAAATTCCTAGGAGCGACAATAACCAATAATCTGTCCTGGACTTCACATGTAGATGCAATGATCAAGAAGAAATAACAATACCTTTTCTTCCTTATGTGCCTCAATAAATTTGGCATGTCCAAAAGGACCTTCACCAAGTTTTACAAATACACCAGAGAAAACATACTGTCCAGGTGCTTAATGGCCTGGTAAGGCAACTGCTCTGCCTAGGACCGTAAGAAACTATAGCAGGTTGTGGACACAACCCAGCAATGAAGCCTACCTCCAATCCATGGACTCCATTTACATTTCCCCTTGCCTTGGAAAGGCTGCCAACATCATCAAAGACCCCTCACACTCCAGTAATGCTCTGTTATGACCTCTTCCATCAGGCAGAAGATACAGACGCTTGAACACATGCACAAACAGGTTCAAGAACAGCTTCTTACCTGCTGTTATTAGACTGCTGAATGGACTCTCTAACTACATATAATGTTGATGTTGTTAATGTTGATCTTGCTTTTCACACCTCCTGTGCTCTTGTAACCTGTATGCCTTGTTCTGTCTAAGCACCCTATCATCTGTATGTCCTTGTTTGTTATGATATGCCTGTACTGCTCACAAAACAAAGCTTTCACTGTACTGGTACATGTAACTACAATAAATGAAATCAAACCTGAAAATGTGACTAGATGTATGCCACAATTAATACCCATAAGAGTTTATACCAATATACAAGACTGCCATTTGGGGAATCATCCGCCTACACTCTTTTCCAGTGGACAATGGAAAACATCCCATGCAGAGGGTCTCTTTGAAGTCTGCTGCCATGTGCCCTCACCTCCCGCAGATTTGGCACACTCTGGGCTGCACGGCATATATCATGGAGCCTCGAAATCCTCTGATCTGGAGGGTAAATGGAGAATGTTCCCATTAGTGTTCACCTTGACCTGCTGCTGGCTGGTCCAGATTCTGAAGGGGTCCACTTATGTTGGTGCTGCCTCCTTCTACCTGTAGGTACCTTCTCAGGAAAATCAGTACATCTGCTGCCAGGATGTGGGGGTTGTACATTTAGACTGTATCCTTTATATGCAGGAGAATGAACAATGGTACCGCACACAGGACAGAGAGGGGTCCTCGCCTCTTTTCTCCTGAAAGGTATCTTCAGGAGATGCTTATATTGCTTCACGGTCCTGAGAGTCATGTTGAAGTAGCCCTCGCTGGGGAAATCCTGCAGGTAGAAAATATGTGCTGCTTGGAAACTGTTGCAATCCAGGAGGATTCTCTTCACAAAAAGGTCCGGTCGACCAGTTATCCTTCCCCTGCCTTCTTCACAGTCATCGTGACTGTATTGTGGGCCCCTGGCCTTGGCTACACCACAACCACCTTAATTAAACCTTTCATAATTTAATCTCTCTTACTATCCAGTGCTTCATAAAATCATACAATCCCTTCTGCCCAACAAGTCCCAACCCTCAGAGCATCTCACCCAGGCCCATCCCGCTATAACCCACCTAATCTCCACACCCCTGAACACTACGGGCAATTTAGCATAGCCAATTCACCTAGCCAGCACATCCTTTGGACTGTGGGAGGAAACCCACGCAGACACGGGGAGAATGTGCAAACTCCACACAGTCACCACAGCGTGGAATCAAACCCGCATCCTTAGCGCTTAGAGGCTGCAGTGCTGACCACTGGTCCACCGTCATTGTTAGCCTTGCTCCTGCCCTTTAACCTTTCACTTCCTTTAAGTTTTCAAATTTCATTTTTGTTTTTCTAATTCTGATAAAAGGTCACAGACCTGAAGCAACTCTGTTTCTCTCTTCAGAGATGCTTCCAGACCTGTGGATATTCCTATTTCCTCTTTTGATTTGAGGAGTATATCTCTGTTTATGCTCCAAAAGAGCCTCTTCCGCCTTCCCTCACCTAATCTAGTCAATATAACCTCATAGAGTAATCTAGTTTTCCTCTCAACGTATTCTGCTTCCATTTAAATGTGCACCTACATTCAACTGTAGTGATCCACAAACAAGATTAATTTATAGTGATGGGTAAGAATTATTTAGGAAAATCAGATAATGAGAAGTGAATAGAATATATCGACAGCATTCGATGGAGTAAGAGAAGGCTGTTGCGAATAAGTTAACCAAATGCTCTGACCGTTTATTAAACCAATTTCATCGCTAGCCTGTTTGTTTGCCTTTTAAACTTCGTTACGCTAGAGTTGATTTTCCTATTTTTGAAATGAATCCTATATTCGTTGATTAATGGCAGGGAATTCCAGTTTACGGTGTTACTTCCCAAAGCGTAGGTGATCAGTTTTCAACTTTTGCACCCCTGTTAGAATTGTGCAGCTTGTGCCTAAAGAAAATTCATGTTTTAAAAAAATATACTGCCACTGGACAGAACCCGTTTCATTATGTGATACAGCCCAGTAACCCGGACAAAGGGTCAATCCATACATTTGAACACGGTGATTCTTTAAATGAGTTTAAAATATTTGTGTTATTTGATCGTACTGTTACAGGCAGAGCTGTAGAGCAAGTTCACATAATGGACCTAGTTGTTCATGACTCCCCAAGGGCGCAATGAACTTTCCTGATTTATTGTAGCATTTTGGCTCGTTTTGTGGATTTCTGCCCTGATGGATAGCATCGCCATTAGGCCGTTGGAATGGGTGAGGAGTATTAATTATATTGCCAAATCTGGATAAACAGAGTGAAATAGAAACAGATCATGTGAGGACATGGCGATAAACCGGAGCAAGAACGAAATGTTATCAGAATAAGTTTATTTGACCTCTTTTAAATCTTAAATATTCATGTTTGTAATCTAAGCACCAAGGTAACCATTTGAAATTTATTCTGTTCCAACGTGTATAACGAGCAAGGCGCAAAATGCAAACATCACTTTCAGAATTTTTCAAAGACGAACTTTCTGCTTAACTCGCGTTTTGTCTGAATTATACTAGGAATCATAATTTTGAACGCTCCCAACATGTTATGCACTAGAATGACTTCAATTTAAAATAACGTTGCAGCCTACAACGCATGACTTGAAAAAATCTTACGACCCCAATTGTGTATATCCAAAAATGTTATATGCTGTTGCAACAGATCTCTCAGGAACCTTACCCCTCAACAGTCCGTTACACTGTAAACATTATTAGAAGTTGACAAAAACAACTTTAAATAGTGAATTTCAGCATCGGACCCAGGTGTCATGCTGATTGGTGGAGGGTGAGAGGTCATTACTCCTCTGCCTACAACTGCTCATTTGGCATGAAAGCGCAGATCAGCAGTCAGAACTGATAGTTAAAAACAAAGATCGGTGATTATTTGCCTGCTTTTCATCCAATCTGTTAAAACAATAAAATGGATTGCGGACGGCGTTTGGATGTATACTGCCTCCCCCGCACACCTATAAAAATAGTCAGTGATGGAGGATTTTTACAGTCATTCTCGAGCTTTTTAATCAGACGGATCAACAAGTGCTGAATGATCGATAGCCAAGTGGCTCGTGCATTTCTCTGACCTCCTGTCTATAAGCATAGATGTGATAAAATGGAACGTCCTCTAGGACAGTTAAATAGTTACGATAAGACTGTACAACTGGGGGTTAAAAGTAGCTGCGCCGGCTTTTACTAGAAATTATGACTTTTCCTGAGGTTATGCCCTACATTTTTGTTAATAGTTTTTGCGCTTAACAGTGTTGGGAAACTCGGGATTCGCGCAGTCATTCAACATCCGCTAGGATTTATATCGTCAGTATCCGAACTTACAGAACACTCGCAAAAATATTACAAAGATATCAGATTACAAATGCAGACTTCGACCTTAAAATTTCCAAAACTTTATTAACTTGTAATAAAAAGTGCAAAACCGTACAAAACATTTCATTTCAATAAGAAATTAAATATTTACATAATGATTGCTGAAGCAATTCTCGTCCAGTACAAACCGCGCTGTTTGTGGAAGACTCTGGTTCTACAAATTTCCCCGTTATTAAAAAATAAAGTCCCAAATGATAAAAAGGTGTATTGTTTAAGATCATTGTGTAAAGGACACCAAAAACAAGCCGTTGTACAACTTTCTGAAGCTCAAAATAAAAGCAAGAATACTTTAAATACACAACCTTAAATATCAGGCAACATTTTCGGAACACCCTGAGCACAACTACAATTGTAAAAGAAAAATATTTTTGGTTTGTAATACTGTCGATATTTTTGTCTGTTCTTTCTTTTAAGAAGGTGGTTTCCCCTCTACGCTGAAGGGAAGCTGGAGTAATACATGGCACTACTAGCGTCGGAAAGGACGGAGGAAATCAGATTGTTCTCTGCAGAGGTCAATCCATTTGGGTTTGCTTCTGGTGCACTATAGGAAAGTCCTGCTAGATCGGATCGAGAAACTGACGTTAGGTATTGCTCGAACTCATTGCGATCTACGTCAGCCAGAAGATCCGCTTGACTGAGATGCTCCAGATTGTCTACATGATGTGGGTCCGCTGGTGGAGACAGTTGTCCTACCTGCACGTGTTGGGCCCGCTGGCTGTTTGCCGAGCACATCTGGTTGTAGTACATTGCCAACACGTTCTGACAAGAGCCGAGAGTCCCGTGGAAACTACTGTCGTGGTGTCCTAGCTGATCATCACCCAGCTCAACTCTGTGCCTTCGGAACATAGCTATCTGGCCTTCCTGGGTAGAGTAGTCGGGATGCTGGTGGTGGTAACTGGTGTTGTTCGCGTAAGGCATCATTTGGCAATCTTCCTGTAAATGCGGAGGGAAAAACATGGAATTTGCTTCCAGAACATCTAAAGGAGAGGTCTCGGGAGTTGGCAAGCCGAAACTGTCCATGCTGCTTGTTATGGTTTGCGTGTCCCTGTAATGGCTGAGTGGGGGGATCTGATTTTGGAGACAGTAACTAGTGTCGTGATATGTGAGATTCATGCTTTGGCCGCAGAGGCGGGCCTCGCTGCCCAGCTGTGGCTGGGAGATGCCGTGTATCAGCAGACCCGTGTCGACCCGCTTAATTCTCTTGATCTGTTTTCTCCGCCGGGGCCGATACTTATAATTGGGATGTTCTTTCATATGCTGGACTCGAAGTCTCTCTGCCTCTTCCACGAAGGGACGTTTCTCAGCCAAAGAAAGCCCTCGCCATGATTTTCCTGCAGATACACAAAACAATTAAACGGTATAGATCATGACAACTCCAACGGAACAAGGCACATTCACATTTCGCGAATATTTATTTGCTATTTAAATCAATATAGCTCCTGTCTAGAATTCCACCTGTCTCACTTATCACGGAAAGCTGGGTTATTGCCTTTATAGATGCAGTACTAGTTTGAAATACCGTCAGATGTTCGCTTGGGGTAAAGTCAAATGCCCGTCTGGTTTACATTGCCTTTTCCCGGGTCTTGTACTTACCCAACATCTTGCTAAGCTCGGCGTTGTGCAGATCCGGGTTCTGTTGAGCTAGCCTCTTGCGTTCGTCTTTAGCCCAGACCATGAAGGCGTTCATAGGTCGGCGGATGCGGTTCTCAGACTTGGCTCGGTTGGCATTGCTCGCCGGGTCAGCAGTGCTGCCAACCTTAGTCTCACCGAGAGCACTCAAGGATTCAGCCCACTGGCAGGATCCCAATGCCGGCAACATCCCCGCCATGTGGCATCTACTCTGTGTCTGGTCGTCACTGGCGTAACCAGCATCAGGGCTGCTCATGCCTGGAGTGCAGCGGAGTCCGGACAGTGAGTTGAAAGACTCAGCTTTCTTACATCCCACTTCGGGCAGAATAGGCAAGGCACGGCTTGATCTCTGCCTGCTCTGGCTCAGCAGTGTGTGCAAACACACAAAATAAACACAGCTCAAACGCTCCAACAATTTCTCGGCTTTGGATGTTGCAAAGCTTTTGGTAACTGGGCTTGATAAGCATCAACGCGGCCAATCAAAAGCTAAGGGGGTGCGGCGTTGCTGGAAAAGATTTTGGAGGTGGAGTCTGAAATTCGCCCACTCGCGGCCACGGGACCTGCCTGCGCTGCCCTGCTATGATTCCTGATGGAGATTTCCGAATGGCCTTTTTTTAAAAAAAAGTCGGTTAATTTGCAATTTTGATGAACGACGTATATTCAAGGCTGTCTAAAGAGACGTTGATCCACAACAGTTCAATTGGAATGCCAGCCGTTTTATTAATACCCAGTCTGCTGGAATAATCACACGTAACTTCAAATATCTCCAATTATAAATCGCCCACAAGACTTGCAAAGAGATTATTTCGATGTTATTTGGGATGAAATATGACATTTTTGGTTTGAATAAACACACAAAACAATTTTCATGCTGATTGAGATCCGTGTTTTGGGATTTTAACTGCTGTGGGGTGATGGGCGTGTCTTATGGCTCTGGGAAATCAAAGTTTTTTTTACAGAAATTGCTGGAGAAACTCAAAAGGCCTGGCAGCATCAGTGGAGAGAAACAGAGTTAACGCTTAGGGTCCAGTGATCCTTCTTCAGAAGTGAGACCCCTCTTCAGAACGGATCACTGTACCCGAAGCGTTAACTCTGCTTTCTCTTGACAGATGCTGCCAGACCTGCTGAGTTTTTCCAGCAGTTTCTGTTTCTGATTTCCAGTATTTACAGTTCTTTGAGTTTTTGATTTGTTTTTAAAAAAAATTCCTGTTTTATTTTTAAGTTTAGATCTCCCAACACTACTTCACCTCTCCCACTATTACTTCATCTCCCTCGTTCCAGCCCCAAGTGCTCGTCCTAAGTGTTTTGAATTTTTTGCCACTTTGTTTACAAAGCAGACTGATTGTCTCTTTTGTGCCATAACGAGCTATATCGTTGTTAATTCGGTTTTGTACAAAGTTATACAGTGCAAAAGAGGTCTTTCGGCCCATCGAGTCTGCACCGACCTATCCAGGTTGAGGAATCGAACCACGCTTTTAAATGAACCTGTGAAAGTCCAATATTATTTAAAAGCAAAATCTCGCTAAATGCTCTGAAGATGAAACGGCTACCTTGATCATAAAGCATTTGTTGTCCCTGCAACTTGGGCCGAATATGACAAATTTCACTTTGGCTGTATGGTTGTATGTTTATCCGATACGGCAAATGCAACCCTAGAAGAATGCTTCAAAGGTGCGTTATTTGTGTTGTTCTACCAGGAACAAGGGTCGGATTTAACGTTTCTAACTCAAAGTTGCATATTGTGTGAATATTCTGCATTGTTTTCAATCGATCTGAACACTAACCACATCTTATTTCACTTCACCTGATGAAGTGGCAGCGCTTAAAAAGCTTGTGATTTCAAATAAACTTGTCGGACTATAGCCTGGTGTCGTGTGACTTCTGACTACATCTTATTTCGTTCAGAACGAATCAAAACAATGATGTTGATTAGTAGAATTTCACAAATGAGTTGTCTGGCAAGATCAAATGATCCGCTCATTATTTAAACTGATTACTCGGATATTCAGTTGAAAGTTGTTGAGTAAAGTGCGAGTTGTGAAGGTGCATTTTTCTTTCTCGCCTAACTGCTAGGAGTAAAAATGAAATCACACATAGAGTTAAAACATGTGGAATTGAATTTCATTTGACAACAATAGTCCATGTGCATTAGGGAACCAGATAAAACCACCACTCCTATCAAAGTCTTTGCGTGTTAAACGACGCCTTATACAAATTTGGAATCGGTAACGCTTGGTATTATCTAGGTGGGCGCACTCACAAAAAGCTTTCTGGTTTCATTCTAAAACAGACCGAGAAAAACATGTTCAATGTCCGCTAACATGCTGGAATCTATAAAACACATGGAACTATAAACCTTTTAAAGCAGTATAGTAATCCCATAAGAATATTAAGAACGCATGTTAAGACGATCGATCAACGTTGGCAGTGCACCTTATATCATTATATTTGTTTTATAACATAGCTTGTGCGCTTGTTACAACAACCAATGTCGACTTTTATTCAAATTTAAAATGTGTTGCGAAGCTGGAACGAAACATAGGGCGAGCATTTACTTAAATATCTCAATCATCGCTGGAAGACACCCCGCTCAGAATTAACACATAACGCGCCCAAAAATACCCCAGAAAATCACACAACAAAGGAAGCATAAAATGTTTTACCGTTAACGAACGTTTATATAATACTTTTAGAATACAAAGGTAAATTAGATATTAATTCAATGGACGCAGATAGAGGGTCAACTTTATTCAACATTGTTGTGCTGCGTGTGCGCAAACGTGGAGCAAGGGGAAATTATACAAGACAAAAAATGAAGAGCCTGTGCAAGAATGCCAGTATTTTTCGGCATTGGGAATCTGATATGATTTCCTGTCATGTAGCTAATGCTGTTTGGCTGAAGTTATATACCAAGTGTGACCTCTTAATTTGCATCTTTTGATGGGGAGTCACTGAAGTGTACCTGATATTCGCTTTTATAACTGTTCAGTAGAGCGGCTGTTACTTCAAACGTTGCTACGTGTTCTGTTGCATCGACACTTTCTTGTTTGTTTATTTTAAGTAGCCTGGTTTTAGAAGTTTGTCTTAAAACGAATGGCTTGTCACGTGCTCAATACAACAGAACAGTAGCAAAACCCCAGCGGATTTTATTGCGATGTAATCACATGCAGAAAGCCTTAAAATTTAGGAACAAATTACTGCAGATGCCATCCAGCATTTGTTGTTTTCAAGCCTAAATATTTCCCAACTATTTGGAACGAACGCGGCCTTAAAAGAAGTTGCTCGTTTGATTTAACTGCTAGGCACATTCAATTATAACGTTTTCAGTTCGACTTTAAAGTTGTAAGCGTGTTGTCAAAAAAGCGTGTTCTCCGCGTATTGCCCCATTCACCATCCATGTTAATGTCAAAAAATTAAATGTTCCTCAGAAAATATGTGGGAAAATAAAACTTCAATAATACTGAAAACTAATTCATAATAAATATTTAACATCGAAAACGTTGGTTGGGAAGGGGGTTGGTGAGACTACTTGTGAGGAAATGAAATAAGGTCCAACCAGATAGATTGGAGAAATGGGAAAGCTGAAAGCTTGAATTTTAGTATAGCTTTAGAGATATAGAGAACGAAGATGCGAAGGGACTTAGGGAGTAAATCCCAAAAACAGTAAGACTGAGGAACAAAAAATAGAAATTGCTAGAAAACCTCAGCAGGTCTGGCAGCATCTGTGGAAAGAAATCAGAGTCAACGTTTCGGGTCGAGTGACCCTTCCTCAGAACTGAAGAAGCTGAGGCTGAGGGATTGAAATGTCTGTCACCAATGCTGGACGAAGGGTAGATACAAAACAGGGAGTGGTGCGGAAGGGAACGTAGTTGTGATATTACAAAAGTAGGATGAAATCGAACGTAAGGAATTTAAATTTAATGCATGGAGTTGGTGAGGATAGCAGCATTACGCGGACTGGCCTTTGTCCGACTGACTGGTGAAGAAGTGGTGTACTCGGAATAACGGTAGCTGGCCACGGCCTCACCAGTGGTGAGCTAAGACTGGAGATTGATAGTGTTGTTGCAGATAGGGGCGAGTACTATTGGAAACGCTTGGTCGGTGAGGCTTCAAATTCGTCTCAGGGTGGAACAGTAAAGTGTCATGACATATAAATCGCTTCAAGAGGAGCTCTCTGGTGCGCTATCAAAAAGAGGAAAACGTTGGCACGGTTCCCAACACCCCCACCCCCGCCCCAGATCAGTTGAGGACACTTTGATCATCCAACATTTAATTCAGGCGGACATTGGGGTAACGCAGAATCGATTGTGTAATGACTTCAGAAGCACATTTACAGTAATACGTACTAGTACTGAAGACAGCTGGCAAATGTAAACTTCAAACTTTTTAAAAGAAGACAGAACCGACAAAGCTGGAAATAATCAGCAAATCAGGCAGCACCCGTAGATAAATGTCGGTCTAACTTGCTCTTCAGATTTCTAGCAACTGCAGTACTTTTTTTCTTATTTATAATTTCGAATTATTCTAAACAAACGAAGTGAAAGGTTTCATTTGAGCATTGTATTAAAATAAGGAGATTGCTGAAAACACCAGAGCCAGGGGATTTGATCTACTTTCCTAAAGATCAGAGACTAAGTTTTGCTTTCGATCAGAAGGATTTGACAGTTTTCCAATTGGTTTTAATAATGCGTTCTGTGTAAGCAAGAGCTATGTGTGGTGTCCAGTAAACGTTGCTCTTATTGTATTTAATTATGTAAATAGCTCTGGTCGCCAACTAAGTTCAGACTGACCACTTCAGACAATTGAAGAAGATAAGAAATGAGTTTTACCTGATAACGTTATCTTACACCTTTCATATCAGACAAACTCCGCCAAACCTAATACATTCAAATCGGGTTAGAAACCACAATTTTTGGGGGGACGGCGGTGGTAGAAGAGATGATTAAATTCATCTGATTTCGGCGTTTCTGCTTTCTTATTCCTTTTATTTGCGTGTATATAGAAATTAAAATCATAATTTTATTTCGCACTAAATTATTTTTCTAATTGTTTTCACTATTTGTTTCATTATTTCCACGAGTTCTGTTTAATTTTTCGTCATATTTCTTATATCATGACCTTTATTTGCCGTTTCCAGGCAGAAATTTTTTTTTGTTATTAATTAAACCTATACTTTGACATTACGCCTTGTGATAAAACCTTCCAGATAACACTAGCATAATATGGGATTCATTAGTAGAGACCTATCAATTCATAGTGGTACATGAAATTTACCTTCAGTCTCCGGGTACATTCTTAATTAGCAATTCTCTCGAAATTAAGTGTATATAGTCATCTGCTCCTTCATAAGACTATAAGAAAAATCCAATTGCCAAGAAAAACTTCCATAGCCGTTTGTGTTCACTACTCGAGAGCACGGCGGAATTTTTGTGTTTTAAGTGGAAATCGGCGGAGAAAAATTGCTTGCTTTAAAATTTTGGTAGAACTTCTGCAGCATTTCCGTTCAACATCCATACCA